AACATCAAGCAGTGAAAAAAATGAATTGCAATTATATCCATCAAAATGGATAAGTTGTAACATAACTGAGTGAAAGAAGCAAGTTGCAGAAGAATATATAGAGAGCTATACAGGTTTTATACGTATCTAAACAATGTATTATACGTAATTGCTAAGATAATAAAGTCAAAGAAATGATTAATACAAAATCCAGGATAGTGATTATCAGGAGAAGAGGGGGTAGAGTGTGAGTGGGATATAGTATTAGGATGAGGGTCCATAAGGAGTCTTCAGAGTGACAAATGTTCTGTTTCACAGGCAGAATAGTGGGTAGGTAGGTATTTGTTTTATAACTTTTAAAACTGTACAGCCGGGTGTGGTGGCTCATGCCTGTAATCCCAGCACTTTGGGAGGCTGAGGTGGGTGGATCACCTGAGGTCAGGAGTTTGAGGCCAGCCTGACCAACATGGTGAAACCCCGTCTCTACTAAAAATACAAAAATTAGCTGGGTGTGGTGGCGTATGCCTGTAGTCTGAGCTACTAGGGAGGCTGAGGCAGGAGAACTGCTTGCATCCAGGAGGCAGAGGATGCAGTGAGCCGAGATCACGCCATTACACTTCAGACTGGGCAACAAGAGCGAAACTCTGTCTAAAAAAAAACACTGTACACATTTTATACTCTTTGGTGTCTGTATAGATATGTATATTTAGAAACAGGGTTTCAGTCTGTCACCTAGGCTGGAATACAGTAGCACTGTCATAGCTCACTGCAGCCTCAGACTCCTGGACTCAAGCGATCGTCTCGCCTCAGCCTCCTGAGTTGCTAGGACTACAAGCACGTGCCATCACACCTGGCTGATGTTTGGATTTTTTTTTTTTTTCTTTTTGAGGTGGAGTCTTACTGTGTTGCCCAGGCTGATCATGAACTCCTGGCCTCAGGTAATCCTCCCACCTTGACCTCCCAAAGTGCTGGTATTGTAGGCGTGAGCCACCATGCCCAGCCTGGTATATTTTAAAAATATAACCTGTAGTATTTTTAACAGAGGATAGGAAATGTTTTGAAATTTGGTAAAGTGGATTACTGTATTGAAAATACAATATCCTATTTGAAATCATTGCCTAAGAGTATTTAAAGAAGATTCAACTTTCTATGTTAAGACCTCTCCATTAAATCAGTTTTAGAGTGCAAGTTGGGAGAAAGTACCAAAACCTCAAAGAGTGTCTCTGATATAGGAGCTTAAATGAAGTGGAGGAGACTCCAGGTCCTGCACGTGTCGTGTTCTTCTTCTGCCCTCGCGCCCTCTTTGCTTCCTTAAATTTTTAGTTGTCGATTCTCGAGTCTGGGGCTTCATCTTAGGGGCTGACTGGACAGAAGAGCTAATGCCCCTGTCTTGACACAGCATTTTTCAAACTCTTGCTTAGAGACTTTGTTATAGTAGCCTCCTAAACTAACTCATTATTAAACTTCACTTCAGGTCCAAGTCATAATCTGAGATCTTTTAAGGAAATCACTTATTTTTGTGTTTAGACAACCTGATTGGATACATAGTTTTAAAATTTTTAAGGTAGTATCTTTTTTTAGGCCTTAGTTAATACTCCAATTACATGTCTTTACTTCAGTTTTTTTCCTTCCCATACATACCAAGCTTCCCTTGGTGTGCTTTAATTATTTGGAATTCATCTTGATGTATTGATTTTACCTTTCTATTTCATGGCTGTTTTTTTAGGATGGAGCTAAAGTAGTCTGTGTGATAATACGTTTCACATACATTACATGAATTAATGGCCGATACAGCAAAAAATCATGAAGTTAATACATGGATGACAGATGTAGTGTTTCCTTATAAAGGTGAAAATAAGGTGTTCTCTTTGATATCCTCTGATTGCCTCTACTTGTAATTCTCAAAAAATAAAAAAAGATTTATATGGTTTTACTAGGTAGGTAAAAGCAATCTGGAAAATTCATCTAGGTAAATAATTTGTTCAAATACAAAGATGAATAAGATGTAAATCGTACCCTCAGAAGCAGCAGTGTAACAGAGATGGACAAACAAATTAAAAACTGCAATATGGGGCTGGGCGTGGTGGCTCACGCCTGTAATCCCAGCACTTTGGGAGACTGAGGCGGGCGGTTCGTGAAGTCAGGAGATCAAGACCATCCTGGCCAACATGGTGAAACCCCATATCTACTAAAAATACAAAAATTAGCCAGGCGTGGTGGCGGGCACCTGTAGTCCCAGCGAATCGGGAGGCTGAGGCAGAAGAATCGCTTGAACCTGGGAGGCGGTGGTTGCGGTGAGCCGAGATCACGCCACTGCACTCTAGCCTGGTGACAGATCGAGACTCTGTCTCAAATAAATACATAAATAAATAAAAATAAAAATTGCAGTATAGCATGGTAAGTGAAACAGTGGAAATAGGTACAGGTAAATGGGTAGCCTGGAAAGGCACTTGCTGTCGTATGGAGCAGTGAGGAAAGTTTTCACAGAGGAAGGGATGCTGACCAGCAGGCTTGAGAGATGAGCAAAAAATGTACAGAAAGGTAGATTGGGAAAGGGAGACCTGGAAAAGGCATGTGCCAAGATACAGAGACCTAAAAGAGCACAGTGTATATTGAGTTAACTGTGAGCAGCTCATCATTTACGTGAGTGGGAAGTGGAAAGAGAGAGAGGCAGGAGTCAGGTGTGAAAGCTTTTGTATGGAAAATGAAGGCATTTATTTAGATCTCATTCTGTAAGTGACTATCAGCCTTTGAAGGGTGTTAAGCAGAAGGGTGACATGATCTCTGGGGGCAGTGCAGAAACTGTTGTAGTGCGGGAAAATTCAGCGTCACGTCATGACTTCTTGATGGGCAAAAGGAAAATGGAAAGAAGTTAGGGGAGAAGTTGAGAATTTCTGCTATGTTTCGCTTTATATACTTTCAGGAAATTAGGTTACATCTAGACTTTTCCCAGAATTTTTTTTTTTAGGGGGGAGGGGGAACAGGGTCTTACTCTGTCGCCCAGGGTGGGGTGCAGTTGGCACAATCTCAGCTCACTGCAGCCTCGACGACCCAGGCTGAAGTGATCCTCCCACCTCAGCTTCCCGAGTAACTGGGATTACAGGTACATGCCACTGCACCAACTAATTTTTTTGATACTTTTTGTAGAGACAGGGTTTCGCCATGTTGCTTAGGCTGATCTCAAACTCCTGGGCTCAAGTGATGCACCTGCCTCTGCCTCCCAAAGTGCTGGGATTATAGGAGTGAGCCACTGTGCCTGACCAAGTTTTCCCAGAATTTAATGTGTTGAAGGGAATAGTAGTAGGTGATTTGGAGCCAATATACAAAGTTTCTGAAAAAATTGTATTATTGAGTCTTTATTATAAATAAGTATTCATTAACTGTGCCTGTATGGTCTTACAGGCAAACAGATTTTTGTTTATTTTGTGTTAAAATACTACAGCAAGCAGCATATAGAAGTCTAGTGGGGACGTGGCATTGATGAGGCAGACAACTGCAACCATGTTTTATTTTCCAATTTAAGTGGCACATATGATAATAAACTGCAGAGGCAGCAGAATGAAATAGTTAAACTTTTTTACAGTTAATATCCTGCCAAGAAAATCTCAGATAACAGTGTTATTTTAGGGGAATTGGGTGGACAGTATAATCTGTATAAAAGGAGCCTCCTTTAAATATGAGTTTTAGAAGTGAAGGTTCTAGGCTGGGTGTGGTGGCTCACACCTGTAATCCCAGCACTTTGGGAGGCTGAGGCAGGTGGATCACCTGAGGTCTGGAGTTTGAGACCAGCCTGACCAATATGGTGAAACCCTGTCTCTTCTAAAAATACAAAAATTAGCCGGGCATGGTGGTGGGCGCCTGTAATCCCAGCTACTCGGGAGGCTGAGACAGGAGAATTGCTTGAACCTGGGAGGCAGAGTTGCAGTGAGCCGAGATCACACCATTGCTTTCCAGCCTGGGCAACAGAACAAGACTCCATCTCAAAAAAAAAGAAAAGAAAAAAGAAGTGAATGTTCTATTTAACCTGATTGTGGCATGTTGTTTACTTTTGTGCATATTTATGATTGACTCTTAGACTTGGTAGTCTTTGGTGGATATTATTCTACCTTCCAGAAGAATGTATTGGTATGCCAACTTATTTTTGTAGCTTTATATATCGTAATGTAGAGTCCTGGGTCTGCATATTGTGAACGTACTCTGTATCCAGCTACATAACCAGACCCTTAATATCAAATGTTCTGCCTCATGTTTATTTGGGAATATCCTAACATCTTGGGGTTGTAACTTAGCTAATTTGCTAACATCCATAAGTTGTGTGCTCTTAGCCTTTTAGTATTGTAGCCCATCAAAAAGTTCTTTTTTTTTTTTGAGACAGAGTTTTGCTCTTGTTGCCCAGGCTGAAGTACAATGGCGTGATCTTGGCTCACTGCAACCTCCGCCTCCCAGGTTCAAGCAATTTTCCTGCCTCAGCCTCCCATGTAGCTGGGATTACAGGCTCACACCACCATGCCTGGTTAATGTAGTATTTTTAATAGAGACGTGGTTTCAACATGTTGGTCGGGCTAGTCTCAAACTCCTGACCTCAGGTGATCCACCCGCCTCAGCCTTCCAAAGCGTTGGGATTACAGGTATGAGCCACCGCACCTGGCCTCCATCAAAAAGTTCTGACTCTGGTCAGGGAATTAACTTTAACATCTTAGCAAAAATGATCTAGAAGCATCAAAGGAGGGAGTTCTTGCCAAGAGTACACAGAGATGTCCAGAAGGAAAGTTGACATTACTTGATAGTGTGACTTTATAGTAAACATGAAGGAGGAACTGCAGAAATGAAGGACCACAGATGACCTTGGGACAACTGGAGGTTCCTTTCTGCAAGGCCCAATGATGTTGACAATAATGAAACTTGATTTGCATTTGAAAAGATGTTTTTACACTCTTGTCACAAAGTTTTTTTTTTTTTTTTTGAAGTTCCTTTCATTCTTTTGAAGAGTTAATTCCTTACTGTTTTCTACTTTGACACAGAAATCTCCTGCAAAGAAGCTGAGCCATGCAATTAGTAAATCTTTGGGGTGTGTACCCACGAGAGAACCCCCGCATCCTGTTTTTCCTGAGCAACCAGAGAAACCACTTGACCTTGCACATATAGTGTAAGTATACCCCTGGAAGTGCCTGTGGATCACACTGAAATGGGGGCCTTGTGAAATTCCTGTGGATCAAAACCAGACATCACTTAACATGAACATTGAACTTTTCGGGTTTTTACTTTCTTTTGGGGGAACTTAGACGTCAAGCTTTCTTCTCTGTAAATCACCTTAAGTGTCCACGTGGAAACCTAGCTCCTGATTCCTGAAGCCTGAGTAATATGGCAGCCTCCAGAAACATGAGCCCATTGAAGAGTAATTATTGTTCTGGTTTTAGGTGGGTTGCCTTTTGTGGTTTTGGGTTCATTCCTTAAATCGGTGGTAGAGATCTTTTTCTCTACAGCAGTAATGCCCGTAGAGACTTTTAAGTTAATGTAGACAACATGGAAATGAAAATCAACTTAATTTGCTCTTTTTGTATTGAGAGAAAATTAGGAAATATAAGACTATATTCTACAAATAAAACTGGTATTTTGTATGTATTTATTTGTATGTATTTAGTTTGAATATTCATGCTAAGTAAAGCAAAGCTAGAGGAGAACAATACAGTTGAGAAATAGAGACAGGAAAGTAGGGAGGAAGAGAAACAGTGAAGGGTAAGATTCAGCCTGTAAACTACTTTCTTCACTCTGAATTAAATGATGATAATATGCTTCCCTGATGAATAAATCTGGTAGGGTTTTGGATCACGAATCTTTATCAGATGTTTAGAAGTTTTTCTGTTGGAGTGGGCATTCATTTTCTTTCACCTCCCTGATGGAAGGTGTTTGACTAAATGAACTCTAGAGAATCTTGATCTTTTTCCTTTTTTCTTTCAATTATTTAGAAATCTGTTTATATTTATTAAAATAACCCATGCATGTGAATTAAAAATTCAGTCACACAAGAGCTTATAATGAATGCAACATACCCTCCCACACTTCACTGTCCTATGGGTTTTAAATCTACTAATAGTTATCTCTATATTTCTAAATAATATGTTTGGAGCACTATTTCTTGACTTATCAGTTTTAGACATTGTTATCATTATTATTTTTTGAGACAGGGTCTCGCTTTGTCACCCAGTCTGGAGTGCAGTGGTGTGATCTCAGCTCACTGCAGCCTCCGCCTCCCAGGTTCAAGCAATCCTCCCACTTCAGCCTCACAAGTAGCTGAGACTATAGGTGCAGGCCACCATGCTCAGCTAATTGTTTTTAAATTTTTGGTAGAGATGGTGTTTCGCCATGTTGCCTAGGCTGGTCTTGAACTCTGGGTTCAAGTGATCCACCTGCCTCAGCCTCCCAAAGTGCTGGGATTACAGGCATGAGCCACTGAGCCCAGCCAATTTTAGACATTATTGACTTACTTTTGTGGTATAAGGAATCAGCCTCATTTTTAACTCTACATACCAACCCATCCCTGTTTTTCATAATTATATCACCATTTTTAAGTTGGTTACCTTTTTAATTTTAAATAATATTTTAAAAACACTGTTTCTTATAACTTCTTTTTGACTTCCACTTTGTAAACTGAGAAAATTAGCATCTTCTGTCTACTCTTCCTTTGCCTCCTAACATCTGCCATCTGTGCCCTTATTGTTATGTTGTCAAAGCTGATAATATTTCTGTTCTCTTCGATAACCGTAACTAAGTCTTCTGAGGTTGATCAAGGGTTAAATCTAATAAAACCAAATAATGACATTTACAGGTAGTATCCTTCATTACACAGTCACATAGTATGCTGTGATTCTGTGGATCCTTTTGTGCAGTTACTCTGTCTTTGGAGTTCACTGGGCTTTTCTTTCTTACTTACCATCGATTGCTGAAAATCATTCCTATTGAATTTTTAACTGGATTGATTTTCTTGTACAGTTGTTGTTGTTTTTCCTGTAGTTTCTCATTGCTTTCTTCTTGTTGGGAAAAAGGATGTCCTCCACCCCTACATAGTGTTCCATAGCACAGTTTATCTGTTGCCTATAATCCAATTTTTTTGTTAAATCTGTTAACCTTTTTCCTTTTTGATTCGTGTTTTTCCTTGCCTGTCTCAACATTATAGTGGTTTTCTCCTTACTTTTTTCTTTAGGTTTTAAAGATGGCCTTTTCACATATGTCTTTAATTCATTTGGAATGGATTTTTGTGTGTGATGTGATGTAGAATATCCAGTTCTCTTCCCCAGCCCCTCGCTTTGTGCATTTGAATAATAACTTGTCTCAGGGTCATTCAATAGATAATCCATCATTTCCCCACTGACTACAATGCCACCATTGTAAAAAATGAAGTTTCCAAATGTGCACAGGCTGGCTTCTGGATTCTTTATTCTGCTCCTTTGGTCGAATTGCCTATCCCTATGCCAATATCTCACTGTGTCAATTACCATAAGGGACTAAGTAATCTACTTTTTCTGAGTGTCTTGTGTTACTAGCTCTTTGCTCTTTCATATAAAGTTTAGACTCATCTTACTGAGTTCCTCATAAAATTTTGTTGAGATTTTTGATCAGAGAGTCACTGAATCTAAAGATCAAATTGGGGAGAACTGACATCCTTCTGGTTTTAAAGCTTTCATTCCACGAATGTGTCTTTGCATTTATTTAAATATCTTTTTATAGCTTTAAGTAAAGTTTTATCATTGTTCCCCAGAAAAGTCTTTATATATTAGATTAACTCTTATGTCACTTGACATTTGTAATTGCTGTTACAAAAAGTGTCAGTAGTGTCCTTTTTCCTACAGTTATTTAAGATATACTTTACATGTAATAAAACACACCTACTTTAAGTGTACAGTTCGATGTGTTTTGGTAAGCATATGCTGTAATGCAAATGGAATATTTTCTGAATTATATTTCTTAACAGTTTGTTACTAGTGTATGGAAATGCAAATAGTTTTTGTATTTTAGTCCACTATCTAGGCAGTCGTCTTGCTTAAATTGTTTGTTAATTCTGGTACTTTATACTCAGATTCTTTTGAATTTTCTATAAATAATTATATAATCGGCAAATAATGACTGCTTTGTGTCTTCCCTTCCGTACCTTATACTTTTGAAAATTAATCATACTTTTTGCAGGGTGGGCAGGTGTCTTACTATGCTGGCTAGCCCCTCCGGTGCAATGCTCAATAGAAGTGGTTTAAAGGCATTTTTGTGTTATTACTAATCCCACAGAGAATGCTTTCGGCATTCATTTAGTATGTTATTTGATGTAGGTTTTGTATAAACTATTTATCAGGTTTAAGAGGTTCCCTTTTATTTCTAGTTTGCTAGAAATAAAAAATGCTTTCTTTTTGTCATGAATGGATACTGACTTTTATCAAAGACTTTTTCTGTATTGAGATGATTATATGATTTTCTCTATTGATGATCAAAGACTTTTTCTTTATTCTATTATCGTAGTGAATTACATTAAGTGTTTTTTAACATCATCTTTACCTTCCCAGAATAAATCTGAGTTGGCCATTGTTTGAATACACTGCTGGATTTTGTTTGCTAGTATTTCGTTTAGATTTTGGCTATGTTTTTGAGTGAAACTCTCCTATAACTTCCCTTGATTTGGGGTTATTTTTATTTTGTTGTTTTTATCACCCAGTGTGCGATTCTTACAAAATGGAGGAGCATTCTCTCTTTTTGTATTTTTGGAAGAGCTTGTTCAAGATTGGAGTTATTTTCTTTGTAAATTTTTGATGAAACTCACTAATGGAGCCATCTAAGCCTGAAGATTTCAGGTTTTTTTTATTTTTGTGGTTTTTTTCCCCTAGTAGAAACATTTAAGGCTATAAATTTATCTGAACCCTATCTGGGTATTACCCAGGTTTTACCATATAATATTTTTTGTTGTTTACTTCTAAATATTTCCTAAGTTATTTTAGGATTCTTCTTTGAGAAGTATATACTTTCTTAATTTCCAGACATACAGAGGTTTTCTAGTTGCCTTTTCATTATTAATTTATAACTTACTTTTAGTCTGGAAAATGGTCTGTATTTTTCAATTTTTAAAAATTGGTTAAGATATTTATTGTCTAGTATATGATCAGGTTTATATTATGTTCCATGTAAGCTTGAAAACAAGGTTTATTCTATGCTTGTTGGATGCAGAGTTATGTAGTGGATGAATATATGTCCATTAGGTCAAGTTTGTTAGTTATGTTGCTCAAATCATATATAGCCTTACTTACTCAAAATTATACATACTTCACTAGGACAGTGAAAATTTATTCTTGTATAGTGACTCTATTTGTCCTTAATATTTTATTTATTTTCAAGTCTATTTTATCTACCAGTAACGTCTTTCAATATCTTTTGCTAGGTTTGTGCTTGGCATAACTTTTTCTAAACTTTTACCTTCAACTTTCCTGTGTGTTTAGGTTTTGACTATGTTTCTTGTAAATTATAAGCTGGATTTTAAAAATCTAACCTGATAACCTGATAGTCTTTTAACTGGCAAGTTTGGTTAATGTTTACCTTGGATTTTTTTTTTTTTTTTTTTTTGATACGGAATTTCGCTCTTGTTGCCTAGGCTGGAGTGCAATGGTGTGATTTTGGCTCACTGCAATCTTCACTTCCCAGGTTCAAGCGATTCTCCTGCCTCAGCCTCCCAAGTAGCTGGGATTACAGACATGTGCCACCATGCTTGGCTAATTTTGTATTTTTAGTAGAGATGGGGTTTCACCATGTTGGTCAGGCTGGTCTTGAACTCCCAACTTCAGGTGATCCACGTGCCTCAGCTTCCTAGAATTACAAGTGTGAGCCACTGTGCCCAGCCTGGATCTTTTTTTAAAAATGAATAAAACATTGTAGATAAAACTGTAGTCTCCTGTGTTCCTCTTCTTCATCTAATCACCTTTTCCTTCTCCCAAAGGGTAGCCACTAACATTTGTTTGGTATTCATGATTTTTTACTTTTTAAAAATACTTTTATTAGATATTTATACATCCATAAAAATCAGATATGTTAAAACTATATATAAATGGTCATGCTTTACATAGCGTTCTGTAAGTTTATTACTTTATTAAGTAATGTTTTTGAAATTTATCCAAA